TCATTCAATAACTATGGAGGATTCGGCTTCAGTGGCTTTTCCTGCCAGAACTCCTTCCAGCCCAATTCAAAGAAAAGATCGCTTCGCATCCGTGACGACTTCCAGGTAAGGATACGAGTCTATCGAGCTTTGGAGACAGGTGACTGACCGGTGTTAAGTCTAAATGCATCCAAGGCAAAGTGAGCAAGTCTTCCAACAGTGGCCCGAAGTTCTCTTGCGGCCAGGATGACCAGTTCTCCATCACGCACATGCAAGTTTCTGTTTCCTTTGACACCGATCTGGACTTTATCTTCTCCATGCCCGATGGCTCCACCTGCAAACACACTGCGTCTTGCAGCGCAAGCGGCACCACCGTGGAGAACACGCAGTGCGGCGGAGCGAAATCCGTGTCGTTCCAGATGCCTCCGAGTAGCAATGGCAACGGTTGCGATATCGGTATTCACTCGATCGGCTTTGACTGCAGCTCCTCGTCACCTCCTCCCTCGTCTTCTTCGACGACGACAGCTCCAGCCACTTCGACCACCAGCACGCCTGTGACCACAACTACAACTTCGCCAGTCGAAACCACCACAACTACGCCAAAGGTCGACACGACAACCACCCCGCAGAGTATCCCGAGCAGCTCCACTACCACGACTATTTCGGGTGAACAGACTACCACGAGCACTACATCAATTGCGGGCTCAACCACAACCACGCCTGAGCAAACTCCAAGCACTACCACTCCCTCTACCGAACAAACTTCGAGTTCTTCTCTCATATCCACGACCACACCCCAAGGGACTCCGGGTACCACCACAACTACCCCTTCTGCTGGTCAGACTACAAGCCCTTCAACCTCACCGAGTCAGCAGTCTACTAGCAGCTCAGATTTTGTCACTACAACCACGGCTGACACGACAAGCTCGACCGAAACTGCGACCGATGTGATCACGACGGAAATTGTGGTGACGACGCTTACCACTTGTCCTGTAACCAATACCCGCACGAGTGGCACCGAGACTGTGACTGAGACGACCAACACCATCTCAACAATCACAATCACCTCAACCTCGACGGTCTGTACCCGTTGTAACAGGCCTCCACCCTCAACACTCTCTACTGCTACGCTTCCCCCTGTCACTACAGAAACACCTCCAGCATCTCCACCTGCATCGCCTCCGCCATCTTCGTCCCCGACCACACCACCTCAAACCCCGCCACCCTCATCATCTGCTACGACTCCACCATCTGAATCATCAACGCCGTCACAGCCTGTCTCCACACCCACCTCATCCCCACCCTCGTCACCACCACCAGCTGCACCTCCGGCACAGCCAACATCCCCCTGCCCCTCGGTACTGCCCTCCTGCATGAACACGTGGCTTTCGCTTGTGCCCAAATGCGCCTCGAACTCGGACACGACCTGCTTCTGCCCTTCGCAGCAGTTCATCAATTCCGTCCAACAGTGTGTCTCTGCGTGGGGGGCGTCGAATGACGAGATTACTGCGGCGTTGTCATATCTGGCCGGTATTTGCGCCGATTTTGTCCCGCAAAATCCGGGCATCTGCACTGGTGTACCGAGCACCATCACGCTTGTGGCTACGCCTGCGCCTACTGTGTCGGTGACAGAAACAGTAGGAACGCAGGTGCAGACGGTGACCAACACTGGCACGGTCACCAATGGCAACGGCCGTGGACCGCGACCTCCTGCTTCTGGGTCAGGTGTCTCTGCACCTTCTCCGACCCCGCCGGTCGCCTTCCCTGTCACCACCGTGACGTTCACACGCACTGCTTCGGGGAGTACCATTACCAGCGCGGTTACAGTCCCACAGGTCACCTTTGTCACTGTCCAACCTACCGGGCCTGCTGATTCCCCTGCAGGCGGCAATAGCGCTAACAGCAATGGCGGAGGTCCGGGGGAAGTTGGCTTGGTACCTATGCCCACTGCTCCTCTTGCGGGTGGTTCCGGATTCGGATCTGCCTCTGGGTCTGGGAACGGAGGGGCAGAAGCTGCGGCCACAGCCACGAGCTTCGTGCCTGGGCCTACGGGCTCGAGCACTGGCGCGGGGACACCCTCGATCACCCCGGACATCTTCACCGGGGCTGCAACCAGGCAGAGCGTTGCTTGGGGCGTTCTTGCGGGGGTATTGGGTCTTGTTGCCTTTTTGGTGTGATTGGGAAACACTGGGCGGTGGAGACTGCATGATGGGAGGGAGAACATGGAGAGGTCAAGATGAATTGGCAAGGAATGTTATGTGTAGTGTTTATTAGTGTGGGCTGTTTATGACCCATGACCTTTGGGATGGGAAATGGGAGTTTTGCTCAATTGACCACGGAGATTGTGTTTCTTGTACTCGGAAGTAATGTGCATCCAGACATACGTATATACATATACATAACAAAAAGAAATAATATTGTGTTAGCGGATTGAAGAGGATCAGGAGACCAGATGATAAATACTCTACGTGCTGTATACATACATATTCGACATCAACGGAAAGGGAAATTAGGTACGTACACCCGTTTGGGAAAAGAATTCGCCCGTTTGGGAAAAGGATACACCCATTTGGGAAAGGGAGCCAACCCGCTGCTCAGCCGAATACGGAATCTAGGTTAGTGCACGTGACTGGCCTTTTGCGGTAAGCCTACAACATTCGTCGGGTAACCTTCCTCGAGGCGGGTTTGGGCGGGTTTCGTACAAGGCCATCGCATGCCAAAAAGACCAGCAGAATCTCGGCCGCACCCAAAAGTTTGTTCTTATCGTTGGCGGCGCATCCCTCACTTGGGGTGGACACCCAAGCACCCACCCCAATGCAACCGAGATATATAAAACCATAACCCACCAACATATAGCCTGGATCCCTCGGGTTGATAATTCAAAGGCATCGACGATCAGGTCCTACCAACATAATATCATTCGGCTTTGATTCCTCTCCACACCCTCATTGTATGGTCGGTCATCCACTAAAAAAGTCGCTCAATCGAGATTCGAATTCCGAGGGCGGAAGTTAACGAGACACTGCCATCAGAGAAAAGCACCGCCAGATCAGACGATGCAGGCGCCGACACCCGGTTCCAGCATGTCCAGTCGTGCCGAGGAAAAGTCGGACGTGCGAAGACGGGTGTGGAGGACGTTGCGCACGGTAGCCCGGCCAGACTCGCGGTTCCACTTCGACTTCACCAGCTTCATCACAGACTTTGAGGGGTCAGACCGGGCGACGGCGCGGCTGGTCGAGCTGTCGTGCTACAGGGACTCGAGCGTCGTCTTCATCACGCCCGACAATTGCCTGGAGGAGCTCCGGCTACGGGCGCTGCGGGACGGCAAGACGGTGCTGATGACGACGTACGGCATCCGTCGCGGGTTCTGGGAGCTGGACCCCCTCAAGATCGACGCGGGCCAGTACGCCAACGCGGCCATCCTGGACGGCATGGAGCGGCTGGGCACGCCGCTCAGCCTGGCCGACATCCTCGCCAGGGGCTGGCGCATCCCGTTGATGGTAACGGGCACGGGGGCCATCAACACGCGCGGCGTCCGCTTCGGCAAGGGCCACGGCTTCTTCGACCTCGAGTGGGCCATCCTCTACACCCTGGGCGTCGTCGACCGGTCCACCGTCGCCGCCGCCGTCGTCCACGACTGCCAGGTCCTCGAGGAGGAGCTGCACCCGGAGGAATTCGACACCATCTGCGAAGTCGTCGTCACCCCGACCCGCGTATTGCACGTCCCCGACGTCCAGAAACCCACCTGCGGCGTGCTGTGGCCGCTCCTCCAGCCAAACATGATGGAGCGCATTCCGCCGCTGCAGGAACTCAAGGCCATGAGTTTGCAGAAGTTGTGACGTTATCAGGAAACATTAGCGTTTTTTTTTTATTTTCTTTGGGGACAAAGTGTGTGGACGTGTGGGATGTGAAGAGAGATATTCGGGCATTTGATACCAAAAAAAAGATCTCGTGCAAATAAACCATCTTAATTTTCTACTACTATCTACTGTTTCACCGCACTTTTGCTACTTTTGCTACTTGCTACGAGGAGCCCACGTACATACTTACTGTAGGTGCACCAGCTGGATGAGTGTAATGCCAAGTGCCGTGTACCATGTGCAGTGTGTAACGTGCAATGTGTATGTGTCATTCCCTAACCCATCGTGTTAGTCATGCTGTGTGTGTGTCTGTGTTCTCCAACTCCTTTCTCTTCTCTTTCTCTCTTTCTCTCTTCCCACCTTCAAGCGGAAAGTCTTCAAATCTCAGCCGCATCTCTAACAAAAATTATCGTACATCCCCTACCCTATCCTACCCTATCCTATAATCCATAATCATCCTTCACCACCACCACCACCAGCGCCCCACACCGACACCGACAGTGATAACGACAACCATCGTATTCCGATGTATCTACCCTGCCGACCTGGTTACGGGCCAGTTCAACAAAACTGATCCGACCGCCTCTTGGGGCAAATATCGACTCCGTATCAGGATACGTGGGTAGAAATCTTCTCTTGTACAGCAGATCTTGTACGGTAGGCGGAGGCAGTAGGCGAGTACCTCGTGAACGGAGGAGATTCCCGACCGACCCGCGCCAAAAGTACAGAGCACAAGGTTACAAGGTACAAGGTATCCACTATGTAATGGTCCCTTTTAGGCGCCGTAGCGTGGCAGCGTGGGCGGGTGAGTTCCCTGGACTGTCCCGCACCCGGGCGATGCGATTACGATAACAGAAACAACGAAGAGCGGAGGAAATTGTTTGGGGCTCGCCCGCCTCCCCGCCCGCCCCAGCCTTTCGGGTTTTTGAGGGCACAGGGTGGTGGTGGTGGTGGCAAAATATACTTTCATTACCGGTAAGTTACCGTGTAATACGGGAAAATAAATGTCCTCGATATGTATCACCCCTCCTCTCTCTGCGTGCTCGGTAAACCAGACGAGAAAGGCGGTCGACTCACCCGCACCCGCATGATAGCATGATAGCAGGATAGAATCGTGGCAGTGGTCCTGGACGGACGAGGCCAAGGCTTGCTCCATAGCCATCACCGCACCAGGTCGGCCGTTGCAAAGACGTCGCTGAACCAAGCCTCAAAGTCCTCGTTGGCAGACACGGACAGATTATGTGCATCGACCGCTGTGGCAGCTGCGTCAGGGTCGCCCTGTGGTTCATGTTCATAGACTTGTCCCCCCTCATAGACAAACGGCGTGGCCAGCTCAGCTGCACCCAAGAAAGCCCACTCGGCACTGAAACGCTTCACAATGTCGTGAAAATCAATCGTCTTCGTCTTCGTCTTCGTCTTCGGGCATGGGTCTCTCAATTTCTCAGTAACTTCTGTTTCCGTCGTGGCTTCGTCTCCGTCTCCGTCTCCGTCGTCGACTTCTGCGAGGATGGCGTCGACCAAAAAGATCCCACGCCTGGCCAAGATATCGTGCTTGCGGCCTTCGAGACGACTCGTGGCCGTCCGGACCAACCCCCTAAACATTTCGTGTCGGTCCTCGGAATGGGTGGCTTGGCCCATGACGATTTCAAAACAGAGTATGACAGTAGCCGTGATGCAGAATGCCGTGTGAGTCCACAGACACAATTCTCCCGACCGGGCAATGTTCTCGTGTTCTCGCAGAATCGTCACGGCCGCAAACACACACGTCTGTCTTGTGCGGGCATAGGCGTCGGAGAGAAACGACCGGAAGATGAATGGTCTGTGAATCATGATGATCTAACTCGGAAGTCAGTCACAGACTGCATAACACGCACCCTGAGATAAGTCGCCATACCTTTTCCGCCGCAGTGATGGCAAGACTGCAACGGGCAATCCCCAACCAGCCCACCAGCGCCTCCTTTTGGGCGTCATGGCGAAGGAGGAAGTCGGGAATCGTCTGCACAATGTCGCGCATCTTTTGGTCCATGCGTAAAACGTGCTGGTATTGTTCTGCCAGGGACTTTCGGGCGTTCAGCGGTCCCAATCCGTCGACCAAGTCGGGCATCAATTTGGCAATCGTGGCCAGGACGCGGGTATATGTACTGATGGTGGGGACAGAGTCTGGTCTCGCGGCGAGATCATGGTCATGAGCATTGGTGGGGAGACTGGTAGAATATTGAGCGGGATTGATGGTGTAGGAATCGGTAAAGGGGATGGCAAAGTAGTCTTGGATGATCATCTGGCACCAGACCCTTCTGCCCACCTCCTTTTCGACCGTCTCATGCCAGGCCTCTTCGGCGGTCAACTGGGGGGACACGCCGTCTTGAATCTTGTGCACCCCCAGACACTCTGCGATCCTGATGGCGGCGCTGAAGAGGGTGGCGTTGAGCTGGCTCAGCCCGAAATTGTGCGCCACCTCGGTCGAGATGACAATGGCCTGGACGGCGTAGAAGGATATGTTTTGGAGAAAGTTACTCGTGTAGAGCACCTCGACCATCGTCTTGAACAGCTGCTGCGCCGTTTCCCGGCCGGATTCGAGGTCGCATTCCTCGAGAAACTGGGCACTGTTTTGGACGCAGAACAACGTCGTACTCAGGACGGAGTAGTACAGGGCGATCCACTGGGGATGGTCGCATTTCCCCGTCTGCCAAAACGTCTGGCACTGTCGCCAAAAGGTCGGCGAGTGGATGCAGTTGTGGTGCCAGGTGATGCGCGTGAGATGGAAGGATACCAATCTCTCCGCATCGGCACAGTCTGGAAGGGTGGCCACAGCCGCCATGGGGGATGCGGCAAAGTCGAACGACTGGCTGTTCATCGGGGACGTGGCTATCCAATGTTGTCGATATAAACAAGCACAATGTCGATGCGGGTAGCAGTTGCCATTACTGCGGCCCCAAGCCAGATGTTCCACCGCCGTCACGATTGCTGAATCCTGTCCTTCGCCGGACGTCGTTGCATCGTTATCGAGGTTGCCATTACCCGACTCGAGTCGGACCGGGTCAAGGCTGGCGTTTGGATTCAAACTCGTCCCCGATTTGAGTAACTCGATATGATCCGTCAGTCTCTGGACGACACTTTCGATCTCGGTCGGTTGAGCCCGTTCCAGGTCCTCCCTGATGGAGGTCAAGAATTGAATCTCCAGGCCATTCCGACCCAGCTGGCGACGGATGTGGACGACCTCGCGGCTGCAATTGAGTCCTAGCCGCTCGCACCTCGAACAGGGTATGGTCTTGTCACATTTTCGTTTTCGCCTGGTACATTCTGGTCTTGTATCAGTACCGTGCACTTCGGAATTGACGAGCAAAAAAACACTCACCCCAACAAGCCAGGGGTTGGCGCTGTGAAACACGGAGTTGTGTCGACATGGGGACAATCCCAGAGGGGGGGGGGGGGGGAAATGCCTGAATCTATAGCATCGAGGTGGCTGCCATTGGGCGGAAGAGACACGGGGGTGCAGAATTGGGAAAAGGCGACGGCTCTGGGAAATATATATTCGTCCTAGTAGTACGTTGCCGCACTCTGTCTTGGGTGTGCCGATTCGTTGCCAGATCCACTCGGAATAGAGCCCTCTCGCGCGCTAGGACGCTTGTCAAGAGTCTAACAGACGCAGATAAAGGCAAAACTTAAAGAGGGTACGATACCGAAATGTAGAGAATAATTATCGAAAGGGGAAGGGCATGTATTGCAAAAGGCTGCGTCCCGTGAGCACTACGAGTATATATACAGTAATACAGGTATATACCGTGTCGACTCGACAATCCAGGACATGTTCCGATACTCCTCCACAGTATGGCCGTCTAGAGTTACTTTGCCAGTTTCGACCCGGACCTGATCTTGGGACCGAAAAAGTAGAGCACATAGACCAGGGCCACCAATGCGAACGAGATGAAACCCAACACCGCCATTGCCCATTTGGCGCTCATATTCTCAAACATGATAATTCCTATCAAACAATCAATCTCGGGGTCCTTTTTTCTGCCTGGTCACCTGTAGGGAGAGACTCACCAATATGTGTACACGCTCCGGCGATGGCGAAAGATGGGATGCAGAATGCCGCAATCGCGGAAGCGGCAAAGTTGGTGTAGCTGTCGGCAATATAATTGAGCATGCTCAACCAGAGCAGAGGGTCGCAGAATCCCAAGACGGCGCCGGCGACAATGGGCGACCAGTAGTTGGTGTTGCCGTCGCAGGTGAAGGCGAACCACAGTAGCGACACCGGGAACAGCCAGACGGTGACCAGCGATGTCAGGAATCGAGCCTCGGGACGAGCGTGGCCGTGCTTGAGTCGGTCTCTGGTGAACAGATGCGTCTGGACGGGCAAGAAGAGAAAAACGATAAAGGCGCCGACGACGAAATTGAGATATGTCAAGTCGGCTGCCATGTACCTGAGCACAAGTTAGTCATGCCATCACGCAAGACGAGCCTGTCGTCATCACTTACGAAAGACCATTGTTGACGACAAAAACATTCCACACCCCGTCGAGGTAGAGATAGAGCAGACCATAGGCGAATCCGTTGAAGACGCCCAAGAAGAGCACAATCGGTTCGGTGACCAGGATCCGCAGCGCCATGGTCACCACAAACACCGTCTCGCGGACCAGGTCGAAGCGTTGGTGAGCAACCACGTTCTCCTCGGGGTCTGGGTTCTGTTGGCGCCTGGCAGCGTTCCTGATGACCACCCGGGGCAGCGTTTCGGGGATGAAGCACATCCCGACGGCAAAGGCACCGCCAATGATGACACTAACAAAAAAGTCAGTAATCCCCCGTAGTGCTTCAGGGTTGTCTGTGTACGTACTTGATCCAGAATATCCACGGCCGACCCATGCTGGTGTTTTCAACAATCAACTCGCCAACAGGAGATCCAATGCCCGGGCCAATGTTGGCACTCATGACGAACAGGGCCATGGGCTGGCCTGCTCCATCTAGAGATCCGTACAGGTCCGCGACCGTCCCAGCCACGTTGGTGAGCGCCGTGCTCCCGGCCGCACCGGCCAAAAATTGAAAGATGATGAGCATGGGAAGATTGAGCGCCAGGGCGGTGCCCACGTTGAGGAGAGCAAAGAGTGCCATGGAACAGACATAGACCCATTTTCGCCCTTCGACATCACTCAAAGGTCCGAGAAAGACGGGTCCGATGGCAGTCCCCACGATGAACATGCTCTGGCCCAGAGTGACGGTCTGTTCGTTCCCGCCATAACGCTCTTCGATCACTCCCTTTGCCGACGCGTAGGTCGTCGAGGACATGGTGACAAACACTTGGAGAAGGCAGTAGACAGTCACGATGGTCCACTTTTTCCAAGCTGGCCAGCGGATCGGATGGTCGACGTGACTGGCTTTGATGTACTTCAATGCCGCGGTCGGGTCTGTTTCGATATAGCCGGTCCCCGGTACACCCAGCTCGGTGGATGAAGCTGTGGCCGGGCGAGGAGCCTTTTCATTCTGTTCGAGTAAACCCGCCATGTCGAAGAAAGCACGAGGCTTTAGAATGCTAAAAACTTTGGATGATGGCGCCGACCGGAGACGAAAGCAGAGACCACTGTTAGCAACGACAAGTTTATATAAGTTTGTATGAATTTGCGCGGAAGGGTAAACTGACAGCTTTGGTCGTTATCAAACCTCCATCACAGCCTCCAGATACAGTTCCAGCACTTTGGTCTTGGCCGTGAAGCTGAGTGATAAGGGGGAACATGGAGGAAAAAGAGGGCCTTATCATGACTGCAAAGTCGTGAGCGTATTCACAGACGGGCCAGATGAAAGAAGGGAGATAGAGGACAGAGACATGGTCACTAATACCACCTGGTAAAATGAGGGAAGCCCTGGGACGGTTGTGACTGAAATGACAATACGAGCGAGATAAGACGATACGGTATTTCTTTTGCCTGACACCAACCTTGCGTAAAACCCTCCGATCACCGGCTGAGTTTCAAGTTCCATCCTGTTTTCAGAGACGTGGAGGAAACCAAAGTTCAATCCAACAAAGAGACGGCCGATCCCATATTCTTGATCACCCGGAGGATCCCGTGGCGGACGAGAAGGAAGATAAGGCGGGATTTCTTTTGGCCACAACCGAACAACATCCAATGGTAGTCGATCCGATAAGACACAAAATTGCCGAAAGAAAAAGGTGTTGATGGTGTTGACGGTGTTGCAGGAACCCAACTCATTGCTTCCAAGGTTCCTTTTACATCGTCGCTGTTGATCTCCCCATGGCTCCTTGAGGGGCTCGTTCTCACCGCAAGAACCAGAAACATCCTTCCCATATCGACTCAGAGACTCCGAGGACCGATCCGGGATGAATACCCATAGTCACGCAAAGGCAAACGACTTTTTGTCGGGAGTTTCACTCTCTGTACCAACATTGGCGTTGGCGTGGGGATGGCCTACTGCTGTCGTTGTCGGACTCACTCTGACAGTCCTCGTTCTCATCGTAAGCAATAAACAAAGATACAGACTCACTTGGTCATTGATCCATTGCTTTTAACCGGAGGGGCTTATAGTGGGCGGCATATCGAACGAATTATCCTCGCATCGCCAACATCCCCGAAGCGCCAGGATCGTTGCCCTTTGTCGGCCACTTGCCATTCCTGGGTGGTCGTCTGGGTGTCAACGACGCCGACATCTTCTCGCGATGGAGCCGACAACTGGCGTCGGGGATCTACCAGATCAAACTGGGTTATCAACGGACCGTCATCGTCAGCTCCTGGGCCGTCATGGAGGAGCTCTTCGTCTCCAAGAATAGTTCCATGCTGGACCGGGTGCACCAACACGGGTTTTCCGACTACATTGGGCTCGACATCTCGGGGTCTTCCTTGACTCCGGACGTCAAGAAGTGCAGAGCAGCTGCGGTTGTATGTTTCTTCGACCTTCTCTCTGTATTCCCCCCGTTGTACTGACTTGTTTTGGTCGTAGAGAGCTCTCGGAAAATCAATGTGGCCGAGATACTACAAACTGATTGAGCCCGACTCGGTCCAGTTCATCACAAAGATCTACCAGAGTGGGAAGAACGGGCAGGTTCCCCTCGAGACATATCCATGGCTACGTCAGGTTCGTCAACCACCCAAGGATCTCCCATCCAAAGCTAACCGGGGGGCGGGGGGGCGTGAAAGATTATGTTCAATTTGGCCCTGCACATGACATATGGGATCCGCGTCGGAGATTTCGATCCAGAATTGGCCACGAAGTTGTTGAACAGTCTGAACGTCATCACCGAATGTCGTGGGTCGACGACCGAATACCGACACTACGTGCCGCTGCTTCGCATGTGGCCGTGGTCCAAATCCAAGCTCATCGCGGCGGCGCAGGAACGAAACAGATGCGCCAAGGTCCTGCACGAGCAGTACCGACGCAAGGCGGAACAGGGAAAGGCCCCCGACTGTCTGGTGTCGTCGATGAGATCCGAGAGATTGACGCCGGACGAGCTGTTTGGCACCTGCATGTCGATCCTGCAAGCCGCGCCGGACACCGTCTCGTCGAGCACGTATCAATGCATGGCGTGGCTGTCGAGTGCGCCAGGACAGGCGTTCCAGGAAGAGTGCCTGGAGAACATTCTCGAGGTCTACGACGGCGACCGCGATCGGGCGTGGGACATGGCCTTCCAGGAAGAAAAAGTGCCCCTGCTGGTGTCGCTGTACAAGGAGACACTGCGCTTCTACGCCACGTCGGCGTTCAACATGCGGCGCACGTCGCGAGAAGTGACCGTCGGAGACACCACCACACTGCCCAAGGGCGTGGGCGTGACGATGAACATCCGCGGCGTCAACCACGACCCGGACCACTACGGCCCGGACGCCCTGGCGTTCAACCCGAAGAGATTCCTCGGCGACACGTCCTCCCACCTGCCCCATCTCACCTTCGGGACCGGATCGCGCATCTGCCCGGCCTACATGATCGCCAACCGCATCATCTACGCCATGCTCGTCCGCCTGATCCTGGCTTTCCGTCTCAAAGAGGTTCCCGGCACGAGACTCCCCTCGATCGGCAGACTCGACTTCTCCGACGTCATGGGCCTGATTGCCGTGCCCAGAGCCTACGACTGTGCATTCACGGCCAGAGACGACGCGTGGCTGAAGGACAAATTGGCGGTAGAATGAGACGGGAGAAGAATGTGAACGTATATATATACATATGTAATCCACGAACTGTCTTTATCCCTTACTATTTTCGTTTACGAAAACGGAGCCAGGCCACTTTAATTGTGCACCTAACGGAATGTTGGGGGAGCGACGGCAGAGCACGGGGGAGGGGGGGGGGGCCCGCTGGGGGAGCGCGCCCGAAAGACACAGGGAATGCACTATCCACGGAAGCCACTTCGAGCTTAGGGATCCCGTTCGGGCCTTGGCTAACTACTAATATACCCTCCTTATAAGCACTCCCCAAGCTGAACACACCGTGGGCCTAATTTAGCCTTTACGAATCGGCTAACTGTCGACCTCCCTCCGTCGTATGTGATCTCCCACAGCTTTTATGTACAAGGTAGTGCTTACGACTGCCGAAAGCCCTTATGTTCTTCCCGATCAGTATTGAACTATTGTTGTCACCGGGAAAAAGACAAACTCCACAAAGGGGCATCAGGAGCTTCCAAGGAGACATCTTCTGCGTAAACACCGGCTGCCTCACTTTGTTTTCGGCAGGACGTGACCTCCCCATGAGCACGTTTGATGTCGCTGTGAAATGCGCTCAAGGACTCCTTTTGCCCACCAAATGCGCCACACATGCAGCTTGATAACGACACACGCCTGTTGTTGTTATTATGACTGGGTGGGCATGCTGACACTCTTCTCCGTCGAGGAAGCGTCTTTCGACCCCCAAAAACTGGTGACAGTCTTCCACTGAGTGTAGAATCTCAATCCATCTTTGCCATAGAAATTGGCGAGTCCCGTCCCTGCCACGCTCTTTTTGTTGCCTGTGAAGCTGAACATCGGTAAAGGCACGGGGATTGGCACGTTGATTCCAATCTGGCCGGCTTCAATGTTCTTCTGGAACCGTGTGGCCACGGCCCCAGATGTCGTGAAGATGGACGCCCCATTCCCATAAGGGTTGTCGTTGATCAGCGCGATAGCCTCGTCGAGGGTGGAGATATCTAGGCACACAAGCACCGGCCCAAATATCTCTTCCGTGTAGCATCGCATATGTGGCTTAACGTTGGTGATGATGGTAGGGCCCACCTGAGTTCAGCCGGTTAGAAATCTTGGAGCTGGAACATGGGGAGTGAGAGAATGGTACGTACCCAGTTGCCGTTGGGATATTTACTCGGCTTATACCCACGACCGTCCAGTAAGATGGTCGCGCCTTCTTCCTCGGCAGACGCGATCAAACCTTCGACCCGTTTTCTCGCTTGGGGAGTGATCACAGGCCCCAAATCGACGTCGTTTTCAAAGCCTCCGTCCACTCGGAGAGATTTGGTCCGTTCAACAAGATCTGGAATCCATTGCTGGGTTTCTCCCACGGAAAGGAGCACACTCAGTGCCATACAGCGTTGACCGGCGGCACCAAAGGCGGCACCAATGATGGAGTGAATGGCGTGGTTCTTGTTGCTATCCGGCATGAGCACAGCATGGTTTTTGGCACCGAGATTGGCTTGTACCCGCTTGCCTTGCTCAGAGGCGCGTCTATAGATGTATTCGCCGGCGCGGTTCGACCCGACGAACGAGATGGCTCGAATAATTGGTGCATCGATGATGAAATCGACCGTCTTTGCCGACCCATGGACGATATTCACGACCCCAGGAGGGAACCCGGCTTCCTTGCACAGCCGAGCGATGATCATGGCGGCTCCAGGATCTCGCTCGCTAGGCTTCAGAATGAGCGTGTTTCCGGTCACAGTCGCCAATGGAAGTGACCACAGTGGTATCATTGCCGGAAAATTGAAAGGGCATATAGCCGCCACAACGCCTAGTGGTTCCCGACACGACCTTGTCTCCATGTCCGTCGCGACCTCAAGCACCTCCCCCGTCGATTGCGTGGTGATGGCGCAAGCTGTTTCGCAGACCTGGAGACCTCGTAGTACGTCGCCCTTGGCATCGGCAAGAGTTTTGCCTTGCTCGAGCACGATCGAGGCAGCGAGCGTGTCCATGTTTTGACGGATCAAGTGCGTCAGCCGGAACATGACTTGCTGCCTTCGGATGATCGAGGTGGCACGCCATGATAAGAACGCGTTATGAGCCGATCTGACCGCCGCTTCTAGCTCTTCTTGAGTGCTCTGTGGGACTCTGGTGACGAGGTTGTTGGTCGCCGGGTCATGAACATCGATCCATTCTTGTGTCTGAGAAGGTACCAGTTCGTTGTCCAGGAAATTGGCCGTGTCCACGATTTGGCGAGACTGCGATTGCATTGCTATTAGATGGCTCGTGGTAGCCTTCAACCTGTCGATAGGGGCCTTCAACATGCGCAGCTCTTCCGATTCTTGGGTCTTCCTGTGCGCCATACGCTTCTCCGGTGACAGCGAAAGATGAGTAGGCCTCTTTGAGATTTAAAGAAGAGTATCAACGACCGCTAGTCCAGTGAAGCAACATAGACGACAGCAAAATTCCGAGCTGACCATGCGACAACCAACCATTCAGCCCGGCCTGGACCCAGGCTAAACTTACCTAAAGCGGAAGTTGAGGCCACTCAAGGTATTAATATTACTCTGCGGCTCATCAGAGAGCCTCGGATTCCCTGCGCCAGAAGAAGACGGGGTCTGCCTAATCTGGACGCTGTTGCCGACCCTGATTCCTGGTTATCCCTCGATGGAGCTGAGCAGGAGCTGCTTCTTGAAGGTAGCAGCGTGCGACGAAAATTATGTAGAGGTACAAGTGTCTAGGTACACTACCGTTCTATCAGTTATCGATATTTGCCTACAGAAAGCCAAACTCGGCATTGATCAAGCTGCTCAAAGGAGACTCGCTCTGTGCGTTTTGTCTTCCATATCTTAGCCCCGAACAACTCATGCGAGAGCCGCACGCTCTAGATCTCCACGTGTTGTGATCAAACCTCATAGACCCCCTTTCCATTGCAATTGCACGACAGCCAAAGTCTCATGGAAGATGGCCGGAGGAGGCTCCGCTCTTCCAGGGTGTACAGACCTTTGGGTGTCTTCGTTGTCGTTTTAAAACAACCGAGGTTCCCGTTACGTTCCGGCGCGATCTATCACAAGCAACCGTGTAACAACCTGTCTTCCTAGAAACCTGGGACGTTTTGAAACGTGATTTTGTATTAGACGCGAGGAACTACCCTTGGCCTCTGATCGGACAGAAGTTGTTTATTTTGAAGAAGGGTTAGCAAGCGTCGTCAGGCGCTCGAAGCTGATGTCCAGAATCTCGATCACGTTGCCCCACGGGTCTGCTGCGTAGAGACACTTGATGTTCTTGGGGACGGGAAAGACGGGATCGACAGTCGCTCCAATTTGCTTTCCTCCGGCCTTTACAATTCTCCCCACCAGCGCGTCAGGCTCTGGGTCCGTGACACAGATGTGGAAGAAGCCGCCTCGGTGGTACTCAAACTGCTTCTCCGGAACGTAGGTCTTTGGATTTCCGAACTCGAACAGCTCGAAACCCACGCCGTTTCCGGTCGCCATGTATGCGACTTTGACGTCCTGCAGCGACTCTGGATAGATGCCGAAAATTGGAGCATTTGGTACTTCTGCGCGCTTGATGTCGTGGATTTTGTTGCCAATGAGCTGAAAGCCGACGAGCGACGAGTACCAATCCACCGCCTTCTGGATGTCCGGCACGGACACTCCGACGTGGTTGAAAGGTCGATTGTGTTCCTGAAGTGAGAGAATATTCATCAGTCCTGAATCACGATCTGGAAATGGAGATGACGCACGATAGAGGCCATGGCGATGTAGTTTCTCGAGAATGATCCCTAGGTCTGTTGCCATATAACTTTCCAACCATCACTCACGGACATTCTTATATAAAGTGTTGCAGCCAAGGGGATGTAGTACCAATGACAAGCCTGGAGCCCGGTCTGGACATTGACGGATGTGATTGCCTGATTTGACTATTTTAACCTGGATCTGATCTCTCGATGAGTTCTCGCCGCCGTCGAATGCTTTATGGTCGTTGCTTGTCTCTCCGCACTATGCAGATGAAGCTTTTCGTGTGCTGTTATGGGTATTGATAGAGAAGCACGCGTTGCCTACAGACCTTACCGTAATGGATAATCCCAGGCGTCTGCGAGCGCCTCAATCTCATCGTACTTGGCCATGTCTATGTCACAAAATTCAGGCCGATGACCGGCTATCGCGGTGTGAAAGACGGCTCGTCGACTAATCATTTTCATTCTTATAACCTGTGCGGTGTTTGAGCCCATATACTTTGATTCTTGTATTTTTCCTTTTCAGTCTCACCGGAGAATAATGTCCAGCCTCCCAAATATCGCGTCCTACTCTGTCTGTTCCTTAATACTCTCAGGAAGCAATACAAGATCAACACACCACTCTAGGTATGGCCAGCCTTCATCCACTCGGTCAACATCTCTAGATTGATGTCATTGCCGCCGCAAACAACAATAACCACCTCTGTAGACTTTGTTACTTTGCGGCCGAGGACCTTTTCCAATAAACCGTCAAAGCAGAGCGCAATGTTGACTCCGACCGTCAACTCGGCGATGATCTTCTCCGTTTGGGCCAGGAGCAAGGAGCCCTTTGCGGCCTGGTCGTCTGGTAGCACAGCACTCATGACCCGCGGCCGCTGAGCGTACTCCCATGTTCGCTGCGAGACCCTGGCGACCCCTAGACTTCTGGCCTGTGAAGTTATCTTATCCATGGTAATTAGCCGACCGGCCTTGAGGGATTGACTGAGCGAATCGGCTCCTTGGGTTTCCATCGCCACGACGGACACGTCGTCGGTCCATGATCTGGCATCCAAAGATTGCATGATGCCGTTCAGAAGGCCGCCTCCGCCGACACTACAGACGACCACGTCGGGCTTCTCGGGGTGCATCTGCCTGGCGATCTCGTCCATGACAGTCGAATTGCCGTCCCAAATGTCCGGATGGTCAAAGGGAGGCACATAGACTCCGTCTGGATCCGATTTTAAAACCGTCTCCTGCAGATAGCGATCCGCCTCCAAGACGGATTGCCCATGTTGGATGACATTGGCGGCGCCCTTGGCCCAAAGCATGGCGACGAGGTCAGGCTTGGTTGCCGTGGGCACGACCACAGTAGCAGGATACCCTAGCGAGCGAGCGGCATGGACGCATGCCAACCCTGCGTTACCGCCGGATGAGGCGTAAAAATGGGTCTTGTTGTTCAGATGGCCGCAGGAGGCGTCTTGTCGTTCCCGAACACGCTGCAGGACGTAGTTGCCCACGCCGCGCGACTTGAAGGATCCGGAGGGCTGGAAGTTGTCGAGCTTCAGGAAGATTCTGCTTCTACGATTTAGTAACAATGGAAAAAGACGACCAAAGCCAGGGTTGGAACCCAACAACAACAACAAGAACAACAAGCAGGCTACTGCTGCTCTAGAGCCACGTACCATCCAGCAGCTTCAGATAAGCCCGGCGACTCGATCAACGGAGTCGAAACCCATGGTTTCTTGAGACCCCTGGTCATTCCACCCGCGGGCGAATCGTGTACCACTCCGCTGCTCGGTGTCGCCGCGTTCACAGTGTCGGGAACGATCTGCGCCGTAGCCCACATTGCAACGACGAGGCTCCTTGTCAGCGGGGTTTCAAAGGTGGTTTCAACAAACACTCGTATGCTCTATCAGTGACCCTTTTCGCATTTAAGATATCTGCATCAAGGCACAACAGCAGCGTGCCTTTGACAGGGAGACCTAACGCTCGAGTCATTTCCCCCCTTTTCGGTAATGGCACTTCCGACTGATACACGGACATTATTGGATTTTTGTTTGCCAGTTTGAGATGTGACGGGAGAGGCCTGAGGGGGGGGGGCCCAAACGGCACCACCCTTCCTGAACCGCTGAAATCTCCTGATTTGGTAATACGTGCCGGCGCCTACGTTATCGTTCTGACAATCGCTTCAGGGTTCTTGGATTGGCCAAAGACACGAATCTGCCCCCTGCATCGGCCCCTGCATCAACTAGACTTCTTTCACAAACAGACCGTGCCAAATTCACTGCCGATCCGTGAGATGGGAGCGCGGAATGGATGCTCGTGCTTCGTGACCGTGCTCAGGCGCCTGAAGACCACTTAGCAGAGTGCAATGGTTGCCATTTGGCGGCAGATTCTTCACAATTGAAAGGATCGGACTACTTAGCTCTCCGGATGAAAAAAAAAAAAAAAAATGTCACAAACACATTGAGCGCCAAACAAACAGCATAAGTGAGAAGATCCTTCATAGTTCTACCCGGCTCTTTACCCTGTCTTGTATATTCTTTTGGCCGTTATCTAGATCCGCCCTGAAATTTTTTTTTTCCGAGAATGGCCTCCTCTCCCTTGAGTTCAGTTGTGTCTCTGGACGTTTGTCCCCGTGAGTGTTGAAGCCGACCATGTAAAAATCCGAGTCGAAGTGTGACAGTGGTGCTTAGCGGCTGGCCCTTATAGCCCTGCCATCAAAGCCGGCGGGCTTGTCTGGGTCTCCGGCCAGCTTCCTATCGATTCAAACGGAGTGGTGGTCACCGAGTCCATTTGTGCAATGACGGCGCAGTCCATCTGCAATATCAAGGCCATCTTGGAAGCCGCAGGGAGCGAGCTGGGCAAAGTCACCAGGGTCGGAGTGAGTTTTGCGATTGATTCCCCTTCCGGAGAGAGAAAGAGAGAGACATGGAAAAGACATAGGGAGCTAACAACCATGTGGTACCTTTCGAAAAAGGTCTTCTTGTCCGACATGAAGTACTTTGCTGAGATGAATGCCGAGTACGAAAAGTAGTTCACTCATAAGCCAGCACGAACTTGCGTCGCCGTGAAGCAATTGCCTCTGAGTGTCGATGTAGAGCCGGACGCTGTGGCTTTGCAGTAAATCAGATTTGGTTTCTGGTGAGAGTGTATCAATCTCATTGTATGACGGTTCTACAATCCATCATAGGTCTATTGATACCAATACATTTGAAAAGATTGCGAATATAGAGAGCATGGATAGAAAACGTGGACATTCTTTTTGGCTTGCAAGAAAGATGAAGTGGCTTTGCAAATCATTGATTCTGTTATGAGCACGGGCCGTTGACTTGAAAAATCAAGTATGAGAGCCGTGGCATGCGAGGCGCCTCAAGATGATGCCCCACGGGCAGAAGAAGGCGGGAAAAGCATCGACCATTGTTCATGGGGGGGGACGTTGGGCTCCTTTACAATTTCGCCAACTCCTTGGTCCTGTTACCAAGCATATGCTCTCGGGCAAGCCGAAGCTGTGTGTTCAGCCTCGCGGGCGTGATCCATAAAGGTGACGGAATTTGCGCATCCTCGTCGCCAATATGCTGTATATCGCCGCGCACAAGTTTTGCGATGGCTTCGGCGCAGCCATAGATCAGTGGCATGCCGTGAGCCTAGAAGTTGTTAGCTTTAATACCCAGGCCAGCCTTGCAATGGTTTCCCCGAGGGACAATCGCTTTGATGAGGGAAGAACTCACGGTGAAGCCTGCTTCCACAAAGACGCCCGGCTTTCCAGGCAACTCGCCAACCCAGGGGGCCAGATCTTCACTGAAGCCCATCGTTCCTGTCCAAAGATGAGTTACTCGAGCGTCTGACGACTCCCACCCGCGGAAATGGCGCTGCATATAACCCGTAAAATACTCTTCTGCCCCTGGAATCAGCTCCGAGTCGTTGGAGTTGCCCAGCCAGCTGCTGTCGTCCGAGAGGACCACCTGCTTCGCCCCGCCTACAATAATGCTGCCATCGGACCGAGGAATCAGATAGTCGTACTCTCCGGGGCCAAACCGGATCGAATACGTATTGTTCAGGTGGGGGGTCTTGTCTTTGCCGGCAGGAATGGCTATTCTTGCCGCCACGCCTCGCACGGGGGTGATTTTCCCTTGAAATTCTGGGAGGAGCGCGCCAGTGTGGGCGTTTGTGGCGACGACGATATTGCGGGCCCGGATGACGCCGCGTGTCGTTTCCACGGCATAGTACCCCTCGCTATCTCGTGAAGGTGAAATCGACAGCGCGGGCGTGTTGGTCTGTAGATTTGCACCCCATTCCAGGCATCGCCGGAGGAGATGGTAGACGAGTTTGAGGACCCAAACGGACCCTGCCGTATACGTAAATGCCGCAAGCGCTCCACGGACGCCCGAGATACGTTCTGCTCGCTCGGGCTCCAGGATCACCTGGAGGTCGGGGGAGAATTCAAAGCCAGAGCGCTGGAGTTGCAGATACGCCTCGATGGCGGGCTTTGCGCTTCGCTCGTCGACAAACACGTCCATGGCTCTGGTGAGTTCGAAATCACACCGGATCTTCTCGCCCTCGATCAGCTTCTTCACGTCCCACACCTGTCGCATCTCGAATTCGGACATCTCTTTGGCGACTTTGAGACCATATCTTCGTTGCCATCGGGAAATGGCGAAGTGCGGATCCGGCTTGAGATGCCCACCATTGCGCCCCGAGGCACCAGAACATGCCTCTCGAGCTTCGAGAATGACCGTCGACGGTCGGGCTTCCGGATTTCTAAGGAGAAAATAGGTCGTGGCGGCACCAGAGTAGCCAGATCCTACCACCACAACATCTGCGGTTTCAGGTAGCACGTCGGTGGTTCGATGATTGCGCAGTGTGTCCGGACTGGAGGTCCAGAATGATGGCAGTGGTGAGGGATGGGGGAGGGACATTTTTTCGCACGAGATCTCTGTCTGTGGACGGGAGTCAGATAGATCCTGGCCGCTGCAGGGTGCTGTTTTTATCTGGAGCAGCAGAAGACGCAAGTCCGTGAATGCGTCATACAAAGAAGTCAGCCATAGAGCCCAGACCACGATGGTTATGCCTTTGCCGAAATGGGCAGTATTACGCGTCAAAAAAATGGCCTGACTCTATATCGTATACACCCAGACTCTGGTCGGATGATCCAGACGCCCAGGCTGGATTTACGGAAGAAAGATGAGGAAGGTTTCGAGATCATTCTGTGCAGAGGCTATGCTTTCAAATGTTGCTTTCGTCTACTACAACCTCTAATACTGGCCCTCAATAGTCAAAGTGCCAGTCTTCGTGTACAGGTACTCGTCTACCCCAACATCCTTGCCTCCCTCCTTTCCGTAACCACTTTCTTTGATTCCGCCAAATGGAACCTCCGCAGATGTGCTGCTTCCGGTGTTCTGGCAGAGCACACAAAACATTAGCTTTCATCACGCCCTGAGAGACAGCTAAGCGGTGCGCGATGTTGACTTACCAATCCAATTATGCCTGCCTCCAAGTTTTCATAGAGTCTCCAGATACGATCGACGTTCTTGGTGAATGCGTAGCTGGCTAGGCCCATGGAAGTCTCATTGGCCCATGCCACGACCTCGTCCTCGCTTTCGAACTTGAACAAAGCGGCAACTGGTCCAAAGATCTCCTCCCGGCTGATAAGCATGTCTCGGCTCATGTTGACAAGGATAATTGGGTCAATGAAATAGCCACCGGCGCCTTTGCCGAGCCCAGAGCCTTCTTCTTCTGTTGCCCCTACATAAGGTTTGCCAGTGCCTGAAGCGAGATTCGCCCCCTGCTGTAGGGCGTCGGCCACTTGAGCTTGGATCTTTGCTAGAGATCGAGGCGTCTGCAACAGGGGATGTTTGTCAGCCAGTTATCAGGGACTAAAGACTTCCACCACCCGTACTTTGGGGGCTCATCACCAGGGCGCCTAATTTCGATGAAGTATGCGCGATTAGCTCTAACTTACTGTGACAGGACCAAGCGTTGTACTGCTCTGCGAGCCATGGCCGACTTTGAGGTGTTTTGTCTTCTCGACTAATAGTTGGGTGAACTTGTCGTATATTCCCGTCTGGACATATATCCTGTTGGCGGAGATGCATGACTGACCAGCATGCTTCCACTTCAGTAGCATCAGGGTATCGACTGCTTGGTTGAGATCCGCGTCATCAAACACGATGTACGGACTGTTCCCTCCCAATTCGAGAGAACACTTTTTGAGGTTCTTCGAGCAGAGAGAGGCGACGATCTTGCCCACGCGCGTACTCCCTGTGAAGGTAACCTTCTTGATGTCCGGGTGTGTGATCAGGGTCTCGGACAACGCAGGCGTATTCTCGTTGCTGGTGGTGAGAACATTACATACACCGGGTGCAAATCCTGTTTTTTTTTTCTTTCGGTGAGACACATCATCTTTCACAAAAATAACCTCGGCCGACGTACCTGCTTTACTCGCTAGATGGGCAAGAGCCAGGCAGGTCAGAGGTGTTTCGGGGCTGGGCTTGACAACGACGGTACAGCCGGCCGCAAAGGCAGCAGCTACCTTGCGCAAAATCATGGCGACGGGATAGTTCCACGGGACCAGTGCAGCGACCACGCCGATGGGTTGTTTAATCGTCATTGTTCGACGATTCGGTGCCGACGGTGTGAATACGGTGCCCTGGATGCGATCGGCCTCCCCGGCATACCACCAGGCAAAACCCAATGCCATGTCAAGCTCGCCGTGGGACTCGGGAATTGGCTTTCCCGTTTCGTACGTCAGGAGGGTTGCCAGATCATCTTTGGCGGCCACGATCAGTTCGTGCCACTTGAAGAGCAGTTGAGCTCGTTTGCGGGGATTGAGAATTCTGTAGCCTTTGAACGCTCTGTGTGCAGATTGTACGGCTGTTTCAACGTCCTCTACCGCGCTGTCGGGACAGGACGCCCAAGGTCGATCTGTGCCTGGATCGATGACGGCGAACCTGTTGCCGCTCTTCGCCTGAACCCATTTGCCGTCCACGTACGAGTCTTCATGAAATAAGTCAGGGTCCTGAAGCTGGAAGGGAAGGTTGTACTTGGTGTTGGCCATTTTTTGGGAGCTTCGTTATTGACTTGTTCTGGTATCCTTCGTTGCGTTTCTAGAAGATGGAAAAGACGACACCGGCTTCAGGTAAGTATGGCTGTTTTTCGTGCGGAGGTGCGACAAGGCGCCTAGTAGCTTAAATTCAGAGCCTTATCACAGTGGTGTGGAATTTGACTCATGGTTGTAGTCATGGTCATGGTTATTGGGATCGAAGAAGTTCCCAGACTGTGTCAAATTTCCCAAAGCGGGAATTCTCCACTGACTACCCCACCAGCTATTTCGACCATGCCTGATCAAGATATTTTAGCCGTGGCACCCCGTAGACGCCGGGGTCCATTGATGGTGGGCACGCGGGCAACATGCAGATGATACTGATGCGGCACAAAGAACCGACGGTTCTAGAACTCGGCCTATGCACTGTCCTTTTTCACCATTTCCACCGGTCGTGTGGTTTGGCTCTGTGACTTTGCTGTTTGGATTGAAGTCGAGACACTATAGATGGTTGGTGGCATGGAAGACTTAGACCTAGCTCCCTCGCAGAGAATTGGGAATTAGCTACCAAACTCGGGCTGTGGGAATCAACTCTGAAGTCGTCTATCCTCTGCAGTTAGTCATCACCCGCTATCGAGACACAGATGAGGGAAGGACAAAGGTGGGATCTGAGAGACCAATGACTTCTTCATAGCATTGCGTACCAAACGTATCCTGCAAAAAGGAACGTATATCTAGCGGAAATGGTGATAGTAGCACCCTAACACAGCAAATACAGGGGGAACATCCTGTCCGTGAGCTTGATGTCTTGCAGCAGAATCTACGCAGCCTGGCCGATTGGTTTGAAGTCCCGATAGCCGTTCTGGATCATCGTGTTGACATACTTCAAGTAGTTCACCATGCCGCCCATGTAGTATCTAGAGGCGATCGGCTTGCCCTCGACATTGTTGCCGAAGATCCACGACGGGGTTTGAGGGAAGAGAGTTGCATTCGCCAATGCATTACAGTGTTCGACCCATTCGTCCTCGGCCTCTTGTCGAACCTCAGCAACGGCCCTGCCAGTCGCAAGTCTCATCGCCTCGGTATGCTGAATGATCTTGGTGTTGATGTCAACATGTTGTTCGATCATGGGCGGCACATTCGTGAACGGTCCTTGAGGACCGGTGATCATGAACATGTTCGGGAACCCCGAGACGTTGAGTCCCAAGTAGGCCCTGGGCCCGTCGCTCCAATATTCCTTGAGAGTTTGGCCATTGGCACCTCGGATGAGGACGCGGCTATAGCTGCCGTCGATGGCGTCGAAGCCCGTGGCAAAAATGAGAACGTCGAGGTCGTAGTGGCGGGCCGTGGTCATGATCCCGGTGGGGGTGATCGACTGGATAGGTTCCTCCTGCAGATGGACGATGTCGACGTTGTCGCGGTTGAATTGTTTGTAGTATCCATGGTCGCAAACCGGGCGCCGTGCATAAGCGTCGTGGGGGGTCAACTTCCGAGCCTTTTCGGGGTCCTTGACAATCTGAGCGATCTTCTTCCGGATGAAGGCACAAGCGGCTTCATTGGCTTCTTTATCGCTCCCAATGTCGGAGAATCCGGCGAACATGAACCTGAACGCGTTGCCCTCTTCCCAGAGCTTCTCAAACACGGCTTCTCGCTCCGCCGGAGGGACTTGGCTATAGGGGGTGGTGGATTCGGGGATGCCAAAGCAGGTCAACGAGGTCTTTTGGTCGGCGATGATCTTCTCGTAGTTCTTATTGACCCAGTCTCGGTATTCCGGCGTGACCGGCTTGATCCCGCTGGGCACACTGTACTGGGGATGTCTTTGGAAACAATAAAGCTGGCCGACTTTGTCCGCTATCTCAGTGATGACTTGCACCCCGGTGGAGCCACAGCCGATGATTCCAACACGTTTGCCCTCCAAATTGATGCTGGGGTCCCATGCCGACGTGTGGCATTTCTGGCCCTTGAAGGTGTCCAGACCAGGGATGTCGGGATACACGGCAACCGACAAGAGACCCAGAGCCGTGATCAGATAGCGCGCATGGAAGACTTCTCCGGTGCTCGCTGTGACTCGCCAGTGGTCGGCGTCCCAGTCGGCCGATAGCATTTCCGTGCTCAGCTTCATGTGCTGCCGGAGGTTGTGCTTTGCGACCACATGCTTCAAATAGGCCAAAATCTCGCTCTGTGAAAGATACGTGTTTTCCCAGGGATAGGTTTGCAGGTCCTCCTTGTCCCAAGTAAAACGATACAGATAGCTCTCGGTGTCGCTCATGGCGCCGGGATAGCGGTTCCAGTACCAAGTGCCTCCGACGTCGCTGGCTTTGTCGACGACGACGGCGTTCATACCCAGGTCTCGCAATCGCTTGAGCTGGTAGATTCCGCCAAAGCCCGCCCCCACGATGAGGGCATCCACGTTGGTTGCGTTTGCCATTGCCGCTGATTTTTTTGGTTGATCTGCACAGAGTCTCCAAGATATCGCTCATTAGAGAGAGGGATTCTGAGGATTGGGACATGGCGCCTTCTTTTGTTAGGCGCTGACGACGCGAGCTCCTGGAGATCTCTCGCGACGTCGAGTTCTATGTTTACCCTATTAGGAAGTATTTGCTGAGGAAGCTTGGCCTGTCCCAATATGGTAGTTTTAACAGGTTATCGAAAATGGCCACAGGACCACATGGCCGGCATCTCAATCTAGATTTCGTTAGTTAGTGATTAACGGAATGCATACAATTCGTCAGATACCCCGTGGGGATCCCTCTCCTATCTGCATCCCCTGATAAGCCGCCTTCACTTGTCACTGGCAGGCTTCGACATTTGGACAGCTTAACGACCTCCGCACGGCTACTATCTCCCCCTTGGGCAACTATAATCCAGTAATCCCAGCAGGCGGAGCAAAGTCAAACCAAACAGCCCGGCAAAAAGTCACCCTCACTCTCCTAGTCAACTTCAAGGGGGGAAGCGACTCACATAAGAGCATCGAATCCTATCACATCTCGAGGCTGCCATGCACGCGACCTTCGATTTTGCCAGCACTAGAAGAAAGAAAGGTTGACAACTCTGGTCCTTGGTCCTGGTCTGGCTTGTAGCTTCGCACATATTTTTTTTTTTTTTGGATCCGTTGCTCGCACCCAAAAACAAAACCCCCGGCAAGGGCTTGAAGAGTCGGCCATGGAGACCCTCACCGTTCAACACGCAGGCAGACAGTCCATTGTGGCGGTGGACCGCGACAAATTCTCTGCCGATGCGATCGCCCTTCTCGCGCAGGGCCACGAAGAAGCGATGCCCCGAAATTTTGGCTTCTGGTCCACCCTGTCGTTGGCCTTTGTCATTACCAACTCCTGGGTCGGATATTCGACCACCTTTGGTGTCTGTCTCGTCACTGGGAATGGTCCCACGGTCATCTTTGGCTTGTTGGTCGCAACCATTGTGTGTTCAATCATCACCGCGGGCCTGGCAGAATTGGCGAGTGCTTTCCCGTCGTCTGGCGGCCAGTATCAGTAAGCACCGAGACTCCCATTTCGGAAACAAGTCCCTCACACAGTACAGCTTTGCCTTCATGGTGTCTTCTCCCGCCTATCGTGCCCCAGTGTCCTTTGCAGTAGGTTGGCTCAGCATCTTTGCGTGGTGGATGGCCACCGCGGCCGCATGCATTGTGTGCGCGCAGATCATCATGTTCCTCGCAGGGTTGTGGCACGACGACTTTACAGCGGCGCAGTGGCAGACCTACCTCGTGTACGTGGCCGTCCTCGTCATCGCGATATCCTTCGTCATCTTCTTCATGCGCCAAATCCCCACGGCCGAGATTGTTTTCTTTGGAATGACTCTTGTCGGTTTCGTCGTCTTCTTCATCTGCGTGCTTGCGAGAAGCGCACCGAAACAATCGGCAAAGACCGTCTTTACAGATTTCGTCAACATCACTGGCTGGACCGACGGATTCGCCTTTATGCTCGGGGCCAGCCAGGCCATGTTCACCTACCTGGCCATCGATGGTGCCACACATGTTGCTGAAGGTACGTGTTTTGTTTTTTACCACTTTGGCACATCATGAAACTCAGGCTGACACCGGGGCCCGGCCCTTCAGAAATGCCTAACCCCGGAAAGGGTGTCCCTCGAGCCATGGGACTGACCATGTTCATTGGCATGATCACCGTCTTTATGTGGACGCTGGCCTTTATGTTCTCCACCAGCGACCTGGAGGCAGTCGCCGCTAGCGGTGTCCCCATCATCACCGTGTATCAGCAGGCTCTTCGATCCAAAGTAGGCGCTACGGTCTTTGCCGTGTGGCTCCTGACCATCTTCTTCGGTGCATTTGTCTCGTGTCTGGTTACATGCGGCAGATTGGTCTGGGCCTTTGCCCGCGACAACGGGTTGCCGTACAGCAGAATCTTTGACAAGATCCATCCGAAGCTCAATGCGCCCATCAACTCGACCATTCTCACGGGCGTCTTCCTGGCCTGCTATGGCGCAATCTATATCGGCTCCACCAATGCCTTCAACTCGTTCATCTCTCTTTCGATCCTGGGCATGAACATGACCTACGTCATCCCCCAGGCCATCGTCTTCCTTCGCGGCCGGGACAAGGTCCTGCCCCCGCGACAATTTTCTCTGGGACCGTGGCTCGGACCCTGCTGCAACGCATTCTCCTGCATCTGGGTCTTCTTTGTCGGCATCCTGTTCTGCTTCCCCCTCACCCGCCCCGTCACCAAGGACAACATGAACTACCTCAGTGTCGTCCTCTCGGGCCTGTGCCTATTCACCCTCGTTTGCTGGTACGCCGGCAAGAGGAAGACATTTACCGGCCCGAACATTGAGTTGGTCGGAATCAACTTGGTCCAGAGCAACGGGAGGCAGGCCCCAGATGACATGAAGGAACAGGCACATGGAAAACTTGCCGCCGACGCTGAGTCGACGGCACTGCCCGCCCCTGGCACTTCCACCACTGAATCCAACGCTTGATTGATGCTGGCTGGATCGGCCGATTAAATTACTTCACGGTGTGGAATTTCAATCTGGAGAGGGGGCGCCTGTGGGTGCTATCACAGCCTCGATTGATCCCGAGTATGCACAGATAGCCGATATATATACCTAATTGAGCATGGAAAGGACTGAATCATTATTCCCGACGTCCAAGAATCTGTACCTTGTATCTCACAGATGCGTAGATGAACAACTCTACAGAAGGTGCCGGAGATGGGTGGGAACCAATTTCATGCGTACGATTTATATGAATGGAGCTCAATCCAACCAGGCTTGTCTGAAGACTTGTGTGGGGGTTTGGAAAAGAAAAAGGACTCTGTCTGCTCTTTTGTGCACCACTTTGTTACTGTCTCTTGTGACGGACCAAAGATCTTCACAACTTGGCCAACTTATCACGACTGATAAAAGCCGTACATTCAATCTCCACATCCGTACCGCGAGCCAATGCGGCCACGGCGACAGTGGCGCGCGCCGGTCGAGGCTCGGCGAAGAATTTGTTGTAGGCTTCGTTCATGGTTGGCACGTCGTTCATATTGGTCACGTAGATGTTGACCTTCAGAATGTTTTCCTTGCAGGATCCGGCGGCTTCGAGGACATTCGCAAGGTTCGTCAGAGCTTGGATCTAGCCAATACACAATGTTAGAAGAGTGCGCGCACGTGCTCTCAGCAAGACTTTCCAGAACGGGTGAGGACGACGAAGTGAGGTCAAGAAATGAGAGGGGCTGGCCCTGGTAGAGAGGACGTGATAAAATAACCGCCGGGGGGGAACGCACCGTTCGGTCACCAATTGTGCCTTTGACAACTGTCATGGTCTTGGGGTCGGTTCCAACGGACCCGGAGCAGTACACGATGCCATTGTGGACAACCGCAGGGGAGTAGGTAGGGTTGGCTTTCGGAGCTCTGGGGGAGATGACCACTCTCCTCTCAGAAGAAGACATCTTAAAACGTGGTCGCCGGAAGGAATGGCAAGGACTCGCAGTGCTCGATGTCGGAAGGCAGCCTGGATTGTTGGGGGGCAAAGATGGAAGAAAACTCAAGATGCTTGATGGACCGGTTTTAAGAAAAGAGGAAGAAAGTCAAGTCCATGCGCCGGCGAGACCGTGAGCGTTCCATTTCACCTCTTTAGCTCTGCAATGTTGAGGTTGTCAGATCTAGATTGAATGCAGCAGCCGCAGTGTGAAGCCGCTGAGCATAGAAGGGTATTCTTGCCTAGAGTCCGCCGACAAATATTGCCTATTAAGGTAAGGCGTCTGGTAGCCCATCTTGGGCGTGAGATTCTATCAGTGGCCAATCAGATAGTGGCAGTTGCTTGTACAGTGGGCCCCCAGGCTACATGTTGCTCTCTCAGGAAGGTTGTAGAGGACGTCCAGTAAAAGCGCTTGGTCCAGGTTAGAGATGCCAGTTCTGGCAAGTCGCCGGGCTTGGTTGACCCTATTCCTGCACTTGAACAGAGTCCGCGAACCTGGCCGGTCTGTTAGAGAAAGTCCAAGACTCTTTCGGCCTCCCCGCACATCGCTCCTTACATATACAAGAGATCCTGGCTGTTGGCAAGATTGGCTCAAGATATTCTGTTGTTACAAACAAATCCATACCAAGTACAATCATGGGTGGTTCGCAATGGGAAGGAAAAGTGGTGAGTGCGCGAAGATATGTTGCCTTCCGGTCCGTCAAGCGCTGAACGTTCTTGATAGTATGCCATTACTGGCGGAGCCTCTGGCATGGCTCTTGAGATAGCCCAACAGCTCTCGCGCCGCGGCGCCATTGTTTCTCTGGCCGATGTCAACGAAGATGGCTTGAAGGCAGCTCTCAAAACTCTGGCTGGTGACAAGCACATCTATACCGTTGTCGACGTCCGCGACAGTGCCGGTGTCGAACAGTGGATCGAGAAAACCGTCACTCAGCTAGGCCGCCTGGACGGTGCCGTCAACTTCGCCGGTGTCTGTGTGTTTAAGAACACAATCGCACAGGAAACCGACGAGATCTGGAAAAGGACCATGGACATCAACGCGACTGGCGTCTTTAACTGCATCAGATCTCAGTTGAGAAGAATGAAGAAAGGAGCCAGCATCGTACGTCAGGACATGGTCTGAGCGGCTGCTTCTTCCCTACCGTCGCTGACACTGTTAACAGGTCTCGGCAGCCAGTGTGGACGGCCAGATCGGCTGGCCCTTGCTCGGCGCGTATTGCGCAAGCAAGCATGCTGTTATCGGCTTGTCCAAGAGTGCGGCGAGGGAGAATCCCGACATCAGAGTCAACTGTGTCGCTCCCGGTGAGCAAGAGATTTTCCCCATGTAGTATATGTGCTGACATGCTTTTGAACAGGGAACGTCGATACCGGATTGGTGGACGGTGCTGAAGCGGAATCAAGTGAGGAAATCCAGCGACAGGTCCAGAAACGTTTCGCACAGCCAATTGAGATTGCGAATGTCGTGCTTTTCCTGCTGAGCGAGGAGGCAAGCTTCGTTACCGGCGCCACCTGGAATGTTGACGGTGGCTGGGTGTGCTGATGGTAACATAATCATCAGTTCTGCTTCCTGTCGGTGGAAGTCAGAGATAGCTGTCCCTGACGCGCGCTGCAAACGCTAGTTGCTTATGAATGGTCCAGAACCTGTGAATACTCTCATCGACGCGGAGGACGCGCGGTCATCCGAAAAGGGTCTCAAGCTTGCAGTCGATCATCACATCCATCCAATGATTTTGTAGAGTAGATAGGCCATCCGTCGCCTTCTGAGCCATGTCTCCCTCCGTGTCATTATCAAATCTCTTCCAAACTTCATCCAACAGCTTTTCTGCCCGCTGAAAGATTTCTGAGAGACCCCAGCCCCCGGAAGTTACCTCCATTCTTTGACGGAGGAAAGAGCGATATCTCTCGACCGCCTGGCGTCGCATAGCTATCAACGCAAGTTGGTCGTCAAGGGTGGAGATGTCGGCTGCATCGTCCGACAAGGATTCGGGGTCGGGAAGTAAGTACCAGACACTACCACAGATGATGAGCACCAGCGTTTGGTGCATGTTGGACTCGTGTCTGATGGGAAAGTCCTCTATCAGGCTCAGAATCACTCTCGCAAGCTCGTGCACCCGGCGCCATCGGTCTTTGAAATCGTCCACAGCTGTGTTCTCGAACGCACGTGTAACAGAAGTCGATGGGTCTCTTGTTGAAGGACTGGTCACCAACCAAGGGCGATGGGACAGCTCGGGGAAATTTCGGTGCAGCTCCAAGAGACTTGCTAACCTATACATCTGTGCAAAAGATCGCATTTGCTGCAGCACCTCCGGTCGGCTCTCGAGGCCCTGAACAATGTCTGTCGGTGGCAATGTATATTGAAGAGCGCTCATTTCCAAAGACGCCGCGCGCTGTAGCACTCGGGACTTTAGTGAGGTGTATGCTTCATCAGTCCCCCATCCAAGGCCTGCCAGTTTGTCAAGAACCCTTCGCTGACGCAGGCAGATCCCGACCCGAGCCATGATGATGAAGACCGGGGTGCCAATACCGGTGCAATTGTTTGGAACGACCACCTCGGGGTTTTGAGAGAAGGGCAGGAGGTAATCGACCGCATCAAGTGGCTGGTCAATCACAAAGGCCAACAAAGCTTCCCAGTAGGCCATACTGCCAACCAGAAAAGACTGCTCCGGGTCGAGCTTCATTCGTGGCACCGAATCGTGCTGCACCCAATTTTCGATAGTTGTAAGCCAGTATTCAAACAACTTTCGTGCGCCGAGGAGGTGAGGAACCCCAATGTCAGTTGAGTCGAGCCATGGCTGAGAGAGGAATCAGCATAAACTTGCCATATATTGAGTGTGTCGGAGGTATGGAGAGCTGCTCCAAGGCCGAGGTCGATACCCATCTTAGAGACAAAAGCAAGGGGGTAGAACCTACAGAAGAGTTTCCGAGTAGAATGGATGCCAAAAGAGCCTCTTGAAGCTGATCCTTCAGGCCTGCTCCTGCCGTCGGATTGGACTGGACCGTGTCGTTCATGGTAGACATTCGCGAGTCGAGAGCGGTGACAGCGTCAGACAGGTTCTTGACCGCAATAGAATGGTAGTCGATGCATACCGGAAGCATATTGCGGTCTCCTTTGAAAAGATGAATTGCGCACATACTGGCCACGCATGAAGAGATCAATCGCGAAGACTTCAGTCGCCGTCCCACGAACGCTCGGAATGGCGTAGCCGGATCATCCCATGTACTATGCAATTCGCAAATTTTGTCGAAATAATACTTCAGCAGCACTTCGGGGTCTTTGTATATCTGCCAATTCTGACTCGACCGTTGCTGGACAGGGTCTCTTGCGATGGTTGCTGGATTTGATGACAGCGCAGAGTCACGGTCTCCACTTGCAGCCGAGCCTGTACTGAGATTTGCCGAAGGAGTGCTCACCGGTGGATGAATCCGGGCTTCGGTGTTCTCCTGAAGAACAGTATTGGAGACGGTGCTTTGGTCCAGAAACATTTGTCGTAGATCCGGGCTGGCGAAGTACAACTCCGGAGAAGGATCCGATTGCGGGGCGAAGCTCCCGTTTTGCAAGCTCAAGCCGCCTTGTGGAAGGTACGTATAGTCTGCGAGGGTCCGACAGCTCGGCGAATATGGGGAGAGATTGGCCACTTCAGGCGCACATTGCTCAGACTGGTCCTGAGGCGACTGACCAACTTCTTGGGCCCGGTGTTGGAGTTCAGGGCAGGGCCGCGTCTCTTCTGCGGGCTCTTCTGTAGGTTCTACTGCGGGCTCTACTGTCGCCTCTTTGGACGCGAAGACCTCGTGCTTTTTGGACCAGCGGATTTCCTGTATGTAGCCTGGACACGCAATGCCACGTCGCTGACATTGTCGACAGCTCGGCCTTTTCTCGTCGCATTTCAGTTTCTGTCCTACGGTTAGCACTTGGCGACGACAGGAACGACAGCAGACTTACCCCTTGCCTACATTTGGCGCACCCATCTAGCGATAAAATGGATTAGCACCTCTAGTGTCACCACAGCTCGAATGAGACTCACGTCGCGATCGACTATGCTTTGGCATGGTTGGAATTCGAGGCGGTATGAAGGAGTCACGCGTAACGTTGATGTATTCCATCTGTAAAAGAACGTGTTCGTCGTGCAGTCCACCGTTATCGAGCAAAATTGAGTCGATGAATGTTGAAATCAACAGGGTTCTGTAGAAAGTCTGTACTACTATCGGATGTTAATTGATCCGGTCGAGGGGCCAAGCGTGACTAGTCATTACATCGCCTTGGCGCCCGTGCCAGTTCACTCCGCGCTATCCATTCTCTCCAATGGACGATAAACGAGGAGAAATAGAAGGTTTGAGGCACGACTAAGACTCTATTCTCTGTCTGAAGCAAAAGGCTTAATTGATCTGTTACTGTTGCTTGAAGAGTGTCGAAACAACTACCAGCACCACCACCATCAAATGCCTTGAGTAGTCATGTGACTGCGCCAACTCAACCACCTCTCCAGCCCATTATAGTAGTAGAGGATAAGTTAGCGGATCAACACGCAGGTGGAAGGGTGGAGAGGCAACAATCGACTCAACCTTCGCATTATGGAGGTAGCGTCCTCACGGTCTACTGCAGGGTAGACGCAAGCCTAGACCGAGACTCTGACCATCTTCCGATTGCCATAGCTATCGACTGGAGCTGGCAACCCGCCACTCCATGAAGGGAGCGGCTGTGACCCAAGGTATACCTATCACTACTTCAGTAAAGAGTTGAGGAGCGACTCCCTTGAAGGCGGTGTCGCCCGTCGCTGACAAGACTTCTCTCAAGCAAGCCATATCTCTTGTCTCTTCCCTCCTCGGTCGCGTACTTGCCCAAAGTTACAGAGCTAAGTCCGCCAAAGTTGTCGATTAGGCCCTCATTGAGGGGCCCCTTGGAAGCTCATCCCGTCGAGGTCGTCCTTGATTTATCCGTAAACGGCGGTATTCTCCTTTCAACGTAAACAGGTCCTCTTTTGTTTGTCAGAACTGCCCTCAGGGTCACCTCTTGATACAGGCGAGTTCCAATATTGATAGACATCTGATCCATGTCGATCTAATACGGGACGATTTGCTCCCTTGCGCAGATAATCTTGGCTCTCTTTATGATGTCTTTCCCATCGTTTGTCAAAGTCATCCTCGTCCAGGTCTTGGACTCTCTCTGTTCGTGGAGATATTCTAGATTTTTCTGCAGGACGATCGAAGTAAGAGGCTGTCTTCGATTGCGGGGATTTCATAGAGGGCCGGATCTCTATATCATCCATGTCGCTATTCGTGTCCTCAAAGTTTGCGGGCCTTCTGGTTTGAGCTTCCTCGTTGCCTTTCATCCTGCTCTTCTCACTTTCCATCTCCCTCAATTTGTCTTCAAGCTCCGCTATCTTCTTCTGCGAGGCGGCGTACTTCTCTGCGATTGAGTTCGTACACCGGGCATCTGGAGAGTTCGCCGTTGGTCCATATGTAGTAGTCGCATGTTCCAAGGGCTCGTAGCTGCGCAAGGCCTCTCCAGGGTTAGCCGACTTGCTTGTACTGCCGCTACTTCGCCGTCCCAGATTTTCGCCAAAAGGGATGTGTCCCGGGTTTCTAGAAGCATTGCTGATATCCCCGTTTGCATGGTTTTGGTTTCGTCCGCCAATGTCGTCCACTGGCCGAGCAGATCCTTCAATAGGTTGACAGAATTCTGCATCACCAGAGCTCGCTCCTCGGATGAAGTCTTAGATTGTCCCAATGACTCGTGTTTTATACTACTCCCGAAAAGAGTCCAACTGACCGTTCATTATCTTTATAGTCGTACTCGTACCCCTTGGCCCTTTTTGTCATCATATGTAGTACATTTAGGACACCCCTATGAGTCCATAACCTCAGCCATCTCACCGAACCACACCACACCACACCAGAAAAAGGGGTTTCCCAAGTCATGATCACCAAAAAGAAACATCGGCAAGGAACTCATCGTCATCATTGACATTATTGTTGTTGAACCCCCATTCCATGGTGCCCGTGTCTCCAAAATCAAACATTCCATCTGGAGCCTGGCACGACAAGCGACTATAGGTTAGTGTAGCCCTTTTGCGATTATATTTTCTCGGATTGAGGAGAGAAAGAAAAAAAAAACAGAACTTACCATGAATGCACTCTCGTCAAGAGCTTCGAATCCCATAGTCGACACATCCAGGGAGGAGGTCAGATCACGTCCGTCGCCGTTCCCGTTTCCGTTTGCATTCGTGTTCGTGTTCGTGTTCCTGTTGCCGACACCAGCCTGCTCCTCCAATACGGCAATAGACTCCCTCATGGCCTCTTCTGCACTCTGCAGCAAAAACTTCGGAATGTCGTCCTTGTCCATCCCACGCATCAACGCGTCGACTTGTGCGGCGATCAGGCATGAAAACACGTATCCCTTGATGTTCGTCTCGCCGATCTGCATGCCGTGGTAACCCCAGGTCTTGGCTTCCTGCACGACAGGCAACAGGTCGGGTCGTAGAGGTGTGAATCCCATCCCTACGCCGTCTTGCTCTTCGAGTTGTGCGCAAAGTTCTGCGGCGACGAGACAGGAGGCTTGGAAAAGACCGCTGCGGTAGACTGGGTAGAAGCCGTATCCGGGGCCGGGTGAGGGTGTGTTGACGTTGAGGTTGGCGGTGACGCCACTTGCACCTGCACCCACTTGCTCAGAAGACGATCGGTACGCCACGTACCACACCTTCAACGACGACTCGAGCACGACTTTCCGAGTATATGCGTACGTGGCTTCGTGCATGGATTGTTCGAAAAACGGAATGTGGACGGTCAATAGGTACCGGTTCATCATGAGGTCTGTGGTCATGAGTTCAAAGGTGTTGGGTCCTGGCCGCCCGGATCCATCTGACGACGACGACGACAACATGTTTTGCAACGTTCGAGTCAGTGTCTTGTATGCCGTTCTCATCTCCCCGTCAAGTTGGAGCACGTGCTCATATCGTCCGTTGACTCTGAGATCATTCAAGAACTTCACGACGGCCAGACGCACCGCCAACGATTTCCGAAGAGCAATCGCCGTCGACACTTGGGTATACACGTTCTCGGGTTTTACCGCGGGGGATTTCTCCTCCAACTGGACATCGTCGAGATTACTCGGTGGCTTTGTGTCGAAGTCGTCCGTGGACACGAGCACAGGACCACCAGAGGCCATGCTTGCTTGCAGACAGATCTCAAGGACCGTGTTCCATAACCGTCGGCGCATCTCTGTAGCGAACACCGTCGACCCGACCGGGCTAGGGTGGTCGCGATTCAAGCCCATGTAGATGGCTCGTCTGTACAGCTCACCCGCAGAGATCCACGTCAAGTCTCCGCAGACGTCGACGAGCTCTCGTGCCACGATCAGCAACACGTTGATTTGCAAAGACTGCACGTTCAGCCTGATTTTGGAGTTCGGTGTGTTCAGCCACGTCTGGGCCTCGTAGACCCATCGCATGGCGGACGTGCGAAGACCAAAGGTCTCGTCGTACGTGGCGCCAATGGCGAGGATCAACTTCAATTGAACCATGAAGGCGGTGTCGCGACGCCCGCCCTGGGGCGGAGTCCAGAGTGCTTCGACGTGCTTTCTGAACGTGGGGATGTGGATGATTCTATACACGGATTCGATCGTGCGGAGGTAATTGTCGATGAGGTGTTCGACAACGTCTCTGGACAGTAGATCGTCACTAAGCGGTGTCGGCCATACTGGCATTCGTGCCGATTTGATCACTTTCGCCAACGCCTTACACCGTCGCATACCGGCTGGAATCACGGTGGGTTCTTTGCGCATGCGGGACTCGATGAGATGGAGAATGCCTCCAAACTGGCGTATGGGAAGGTCAGAAAGAGAGAGGAAAGAACAAAGATAGCAACAGCGAGAAAGACACAACGCAACGCAACGCAACGTACCATGGAAACACCATTCATCCAGTGACTCTGGCCGAATTGGCGTGACTTGTGGAATACTGTGCGTCCGAACATTCGAGGTTCGCCGAAAAAGTCCTGTCTGCATTGTGCAGGGTCAGGCAGTTCTAGGGTCAACGGAGCAGACGAAATGTCCTGGCTCCGGTCTGAGGTCATAGGAGGACCTTCTATCATCAAAGTATCGATGGGGATGTTTGTCGACGATGGAGTCCCTGTTTCATGTGGAGCTGTGGCGGCGCTGCTTATTATGCTTGAGGTTTTCCCCGTGGATCCCGGAGATGTTTGTCCATCAGAGGCGGCGGGTTCCTCAGTATTGGGACGCTGTCTCAGAGGAGGGAAATCTTCGTAAATGCAGACGGCATCTCTCGAACGGGTGCAATTGTTGCATGGATGTTCTCGGTTGCATCGGATTTTGCGTTTCCTGCAGACTGTGCATGAGACTGCTGGTCTTCTTCTTCGGCGACGTTCGGGCTCAGACATTTGCTGACCAAGCGTGGTAATGGCCATGGCGGACTTTCCCTGGCAAAATTGCAGCCAAAGGGTTCTTCGCTGTGCATCTCAGATGAGCAGTACAAGATGAAGTGGAAGAGTCGCCCATAGTGATATCCGAGTCGGTCCGGATATAATTCTGCGCTTTATGTGTTAATGCTTCACAATATGCCGACGCTTCTAATGGGCGCTTCTGGCTACTTCTTGGGTGAGACGATCGTACGCATTGACCTGCTGTCTCGCCAGATCGTATATGCCAACGAGCTGTTGAGTGCTGTTGAGTGAGGGTACAGCTACTGGCACAATCGGGGATGGTGTCTGCATTATTTGACACAAACACAATCCCTGACGCAGACTAATGAGGTATATTAGCGGTTGTTGTATTTGTACTTCGACGTAATCCGAGATGTCGATTGGAATGGTGATGTCGGTTACAGTTCAAGACGCCACAGTCTGGTCTGTGTCCACCGTTGCACCAATCACCAGTCTCATTCGAGGTCCCAAAGAGTAAGTCTCTCTCTCGGGAGATATCAAAGGGATCCAGTCCAGGCCGACTCCGAAGACAATGGTGCCGGAAAATGCAAGCAAGCATTTCTCGTATATAACTAAACCCCCTTGCATCTGAGATCATTTCGACTATGACACAATCCAAGTAACAATACCTCTCTTTGCAGCTGACCATTCCAGTTTCCAGATCCGAACACACGAAGAAGGTTGGTGTCGATATACCTAGACCTCTCACTATGGAGTCTCGAGAAGAAGAAACAACCCAGCAGCCACCAGCCGTTGAAGAGAAAATACCCTCCCCTGATCCCGAGCTGGGACAAGAACAAATCCAGAGTGGTGACTCGACGAAACCTGACTTCGACCCTCCGCCTGACGGTGGACTTCGGGCCTGGCTTGTGACAGTCGGCGCAGCCTGCATTACTTTCTCGGCATTGGGATTCACCAACGCGTTCGGCGTTTTCGAAGAGTACTATTTGTCACATCAATTGACAGAAAAATCACCCGACGACATTGCTTGGATTGGATCAATAGCAGCCTTCCTCCAATTTGCCGTAGGAGCCGTTGCTGGGCCTGTGTTCGATCGATATGGGATCTGGGTGTGTCTCGGTCTTTCTGCTCCAACGTCGAATGTCAGACTAACGTTGCAAGTAGATCCTCCGTCCAGCCATCGTGACATTCGTGCTTGCTTTGATGATGGTCAGCATCTGCAAGGAGTATTGGCAATTCATGCTCGCTCAAGGCATCCTACTTGGCTTTGCCTTGGGGTTCCTGACTTTCCCCCCATTGGGAGCCTTGTCCCAGTACTTCGATAAAAAGCGAGGCGCTGCGTTCGGTCTGGCAATATCTGGGTCATCAATTGGAGGCGTCGTTTTCCCGATTGCTTTGTCCAAGATGCTCAACAATTCTTCCCTAGGGTTCGGCTGGTCAGTGCGCATCATGGCATTTGTGCTGCTCCCATTGATGGCATTTGCTTGCATATTTGTCAAACCTCGCCTCCCTCCGCGGACGACGACCTTCTTCATCTGGAAGGCTTTTCAAGAAGCTAATTTCGTGCTGCTGATAGCGGCCCTCTTCTTCATGTTCATGGGCATGTGGATGCCGCTTTTCTACCTGCCATCATATGCAGTTTCACAAGGCATGGATCCAACGCTGGCATCCTACCTCCTTGCAATCCTCAACGGAGCTTCAACGTTTGGTCGAATCGTTCCCGGCATACTCGCAGATAAACTTGGGAGGCTGAACGTGTTTGCAGCAGGCGCCCTCTCAACAGGTGTCTTGATCTTCTGCCTCACAAAGGCCGACACCACTGCAGGTTTGGTGGTGTATGCGGTCTTCGTCGGCTTTGCCTCGGGGACCATCATTTCGGGAGCGACGGCAGCCTTCACCCTTTGTACAGGAAGTCCTCAGGAGGCGGGAACTTACATGGGTCAAGGTTTGGCTATAGGATCACTGGCATCTTTGATTGGTCCTCCAGTCAACGGTGCTCTTGTCAAGCACTATGGAGGCTATTGGGAGGCGTCAATCTTCAGTGGTGTCATGTGTCTGATCGGTGGTTTCATTGCATTTGCCAGCAAGGCTGCAACCTCGAAAGGGATCATGGGGAAAGTGTGACCATGCTCAGGGTTATGTGTATCGAAAATCATTTTGTTTTTGTTTCCTTCTTTTGGATGAAGGCCTCTCCACTCTTGTTTTTGATGCAGTGGTGGTGGCAGTTTGCAGTAACATTTTTAATATGCAAGTGTAGATATCGAAGTCCATGTTTTCATGTAGAGTGGATAGGCACAAAATTATAGAGCGCTTTGATCGCGACCATTCTCTGCCGAGAGTATTCATCTGAGTTGATTCGATCGGCAAGAAAAGGCAAATGAGGTGTCTCATGGTTATAAGAGTCAGGCTGCTCCGTAATAATGCCAACGTTCAAGTGTGATAATTGGTAACGAGCTCCGTTTCTTTCAACCGTAGGCTTCTTCGTGGGTCGACGTAATTTCATGGCACGTACATGAGGACAATTGGGTTCTGCATCTGCCTGTCTTCCGTAGTTTCTGAGTATGCCTGGCGCGTATCGTACTCGAACTCCCAAATTGGCTTCTTCCACGACAGGTTGTTGGAAATATTAGCAATAAAAGTCTGGGAATTCATGCCGGAAAATGTCTTTGAGTCGATCTGGTAAACCCAATTGTACATATTTGATCAAAAGTCCAATGTATGGAACAAACACAAACGATCCCGGCCCCTGGATGGTTCGAAAGGCTTCAATTGTAACTCTCTGTCTTTTTACTTGTATACGAACAAAAGTTCATGGATGTATCACCACGGCAATGTATGTATGTATTGCCATTTCGAATCTCAATGTCAACGACAATACCACATGCACTTCAACATTGCAATGAGAGCTCGAGCATGATGATAGATGGAAGATCCTTTGCTTGCCTTGTACTCCCTATACGCACTCAATTGTCCTCCCATTTTTTTTTTGGTATCGGTTCGTCAAGCCTGAACTCCTTTTCTGAGAAATAGGTATCACTACTAAGTGATTGAATACTGGTTACATAGTTGTCCGTGTGTCCCCTCTCCTCCGTGGATACATCCGTCGAGCCCATCCTGCCTTTTCAATGAGTACACAGTCCCTGTGACCGCCTGGCCACCTGGCCGTCCATGAATTCACCTGGGTATCTCCATCACCACCGATCCAATGTTTGCCCCGACACCTCAACCGTGCATGTGGACCTCGACCACGCCGCTCTTGTGCCAAGTGGCCAACAACACGCCGCAGCTCCCACAGCGATGTTGGACGTCCTTCAGCGAGTTCATCAGGTAGGGAATGAAGCAGAGGAGACCGGTCAGGCAGCAAGCGACGCCGGCCCAGACACTATGTAAGATTCAGCTTGTTGACTTTGTCTTTACAAGGGAAGGGTAGGAACATTGTGTCCGCTGGAAGATGAAAGGTAGAGGGTACGAGAAACTTACTGCGTGGTGTTGCCTGTGTGGTAGCTGACGTTGGTCATGGCCCGTTGGCCGCAAGCCGGACAGTCGACCGGCGCCGGCGACATGCCGAGATTGGGAACGGCCACGGCCTGACGGAACTGGCCTGATGCAGAGCGATAGCCGGGCTGCTGGGGTGCTGGGAAAACTTTCTCGGTGTACTCTTGCTGCGGCGTCTGTTGCAGCACCGGAGTCGGAGCCATTACTTGGGCGGCGCCAGTAGGCTGCGGTGACTGTTGGAATCGAAGATCTCTGTACATGATTCATCAGCATGAGTTTCGAGTAGATCCGTGTACCGAGATAGATACTTACGCCGGCATCAAAACTTCGGTGGCCTGGCTGTCCACTGTTGGGGGACTTCTTGTTAGATTGCGTTCTATACCTGTATATGGATGTCACGGGCGACAGCGGGGGTATGTACTTACCACCATGAGAGGGCTTTTCAAAGGCAGGATTCATGGTTATTGGAGTACAAGGAAAGGTAGAGGTGCTGAACAGTTGAGTCGAGGGAATGGTGAAGAGACGAGTGGATGAAGAAGTGAGAGGTGGTCGAGGGTGGATATAAGTGATAAGTGATAACTGTCGACCTGTCCTTTGACTTTGACTGAGAAACAGTTTTGAGGAGAGACAGATCAGATCAGGCTGAGCCAGGCCCAGGCCGGGGAAGTGGGAGGTGGCAAAGGCAACGACGTTACGAGGTACATGTGTTCTGGACGTTGGACGCTGGCTGTGCTAATTCATGACCCTCGTAATACAGAAACACGAAGCGCCACGAGTGACTTTTGGGGGTTCTGGCCGGGAGGGAGGAGGCTTGATCGAGACTGAGTCCCATATTTAGCCTTGTCGTTCGTGTCTCTTTCTGTTGAACCAATTCGGACAGGGACAGGGTTGGCGTGGGAGTTATTGGACAGGCAAGGAAGCAAGGAAGCAAGTAAGCAAGCGAGCAAGCAAACAAGCGAGCCAGACACGAAGAGTGACAGGGAAGAGGCAAGAGATAGGAGACTGGGAAGGAGAGATGGAACGAGGCTCTAGGACTCTCTCACAAATCAGCCATTTCCGCCGTTGTGTAACCCTGTCGTGACTCTTGTGAGTCTGGCTCTTCAATACCAGATACCAGGGGGATACGCACGCATACGGGTGTATGTACTCGTAACCCTCTAAAACGGTTGTGTCTTGTTTCTCATTTGGCATCTAGGCTCTGGGCTTTGGGCAGTGGCTTTCTATTCGTATGTTTCTAGAGACGCCACCTTCTTCCCTGTCACATTCTCACCTACTCGTATTCGAGGGTTTCTTGACCACTGCCACTGGGGGTTTCGATAGTCAGGAGGGAAAGGTGGCAGCCCATCTCGGTCAGGTGGACACAGGCACATATTGTACCTCGAACGAGTAGTAATAGTACAGTAAATGCCACTGTGGTGAAACGTCGTCGTTATCCTCTGTTCTCTAGGTAAGTCATAAGGCTGAAAAGGGGGCAGAGGTGCCAAAGGTGTCAGAAATGCTCTTCGCAGATGCCTTGCCCTGCCCTGCCCTGCCACGTTACAGACGCAATCTGAGACGGACGAGTGAAAACTCTCGCTGTATCTCAGACTCGTACCCGTATGTATTGGCTAAAGTCCCAAGACCCTCACTTTCAAGCCACGGAAATGTCCCCGGTGACTCTTCTCATTCGATTGGTTCAAGGGTAGTGAGCTCATTGGTCGATGCGAAGCCAGGCTGCATGGAGGTGTGTGAGCGTTTTTTGGAAGAAACACGAGTTTCTGGTCTAATTTTGTCGTTGGCCAAGATTCTGATGCTGGGATTACGAGACTGGAAGGCTGGGAGGCAGAGTGGGTAGGAGAGAGACAGAGAGTGTGGGAGAGTGAGGTAAAGAGGAGGAGAAGAGTTTGTGTGTCGGTGAGTGTGTGGCTGGATCTCGCCACTCAGCCTGATTGATTGATTCTCCCCCCCTTTTTTTTGTTGCTTTGTCCCAACCAACCAACGCAACTCGATTCCATCTGAAAAGGAGAACGGTGTCCTTGAACGATTCCTCTATAGCTATACACAAGCACAGTATTTATCAATGTATGTACTAGAGTATGTATGTATGTATGTTGGAAGGGTGTGCATGCGGCTAGGAAATAGAGAGCCTCCCTAGCAGAAACTGTGGTCTGGACAGACGGACAGTGTGGCTTTTCAGCCTTCCTACGGATACGGCGTCCCTCTCCCCCCTTTTATTGATCCGTATTGAGTAAGTGTTTCACCGACCGACTGGCTGCCTACATGCCCATCTGCCATCTGCCTCCCTGCGCCCGGCTGGGATGGACGTTGTGCAGGGATCCCGCGAAAGCCCCAATCGATAGTCCCGGAATCTGGTCTGGTTAGGCCAGCCTACAGCACCTCCTGCGAGCACTTCCACTCCCCCCTCAGAACCCTGTCCGTCATGCGAGGCGAGAGCACTAAACAAGTCCTTGACGTACGAGGACGAGTAATTATGACAACGACAATGACAGCCACAGCCCAATTCTTCAGTCTGGCCTTACCAGCGTCCAGGCCATGGGGACGCAGGGAAGAAGATACCACAGAGAATGAAGGGACATGTACGGGGTAGTTGTAGGCGCGTAGTGCGTAGTAGGCGGTGGTTGGAAGTCCCTGGCTATGCCCATCTCATCCCATCTCATGCTCCTCTCTTTCCTCTCCATGTGAAATCTTCACAGACTGCTCTCCCTCTCCCTCTACCTCATGACAATACCATCCAACCTCCAGAAAGATCGACGGGCGGTGAACCATTCATACCAATGATCTGTTGACCATCTCCCATGTAAAGACTAAGCATACAGAAATGGCTGCTCAACTCGTCAACGCCCACACCTCAACCCCCGCCCTGGGACGAACATGTGCCCTCTGCCATTCCGGTACAAACAGTGTTTCGCCTAGACCCCCCTTTGGGAAGCGCTGTGCTGACTTCTTCTCAGGTATCCCCTGGGACGTCACCTTTGCAGATTGTACCTACTGCAGGCTGCCCTTCTGCAAGCACTGCTGGCTCCAACACCAGCCGAGCCATGCCCTGGCCTCGGTCTCGATGGTGCACGGCGACATCCACGACGCCACCAACAAAGCTGCCCCTCAACCGTGCTCGGCATGTCGAAAACGCTCGGCGAGTCGGTACGCGTGCCTCGAATGCCCCTACACGCTGTGTCGGGGATGCTGGTTCTCGCGAGGCGTCAACACCCACCCACACCGGACCTTCAAGATCTTCGAGCCCACATGCTCGACGGGGAGGGTCACGGCGGCCGACACGCTCCCGACAAACTCGTGCTGTGACGACGCCGCCGTCAATCACTGCATCTCCTGCTCAAAGGGCTTCGCGCTCGGCCAGTCCGTCATCTTCTGCAAGACGTGCTTCGTCGACATCAACGAGCCCATGTACCGCTGCCTGAGCTGCTATTCGCTCGGCCACGGCCACCCGAGCCACCACGAGCCGTGGCAGTGGACGTTTCAGGTCGCAAAGACAGGCTGGCTCTCCAGCGGCATTTACTGCCAGAAGTGTGCCCAACGTAAGTCCCAAGTTGGACGGCGATTAGCATGGAAATGCCTATTTGCTGATGCGGTGCGGGTGGTGCTTAGCGATGCGAACGATCGAGGCTCTCAAAGGACACGCCCACACAGACTTTATTGACGTCTACACCGAAGAGAATCTGAATCAGGTCATTGCGCGATCATATCGGGAGTGCCAGAGAAAAGTCATGCGAGTCGACGGGCTCGTCACCGACGTTGGCGAACAGTGCAGTCTCTGCTTACATAGTATGTTTTCAATCTTGCGGGTTGGATAATCACTAACACCACTTGCTCAGAAACCACACCCATCTCGTCTTTGCATTGTCAGCAGTGTAACCAAGTCCTCAAGCTGTGTACTCACTGCGTCCAGTATGCCAGCAAATTGCATGTCCACCCCATTCCCAGGTTCAACGACGATACCAACCAAACCCAACAGGGCCAGATACTTCAGAGTCCAGTCTCGACAGGATCTTTCCCGTCACCGCAGTCGCCCTATCCACCCCAGCGTCCTTTCAGTGCTACTGCTGCTCCCCAGTCCCAGTGGCCTGGTCACGCCGCCAATGCGCATCCCACGGCTGGACTTGCCAGACCACCTCCAGGACAAAGAATCAGCAGTGCTCCACCCCATACACAGTGGTCAAGACCTCAAAGCCACGTTCCCGGGCAGGTGGTAAGACCTGGTGGCCCGGCACAGCAGCATAACTTCTTCAATGAGCTTGCCACCAGCATCGCCGTGGCGTCCATCACGAATGCAGTGGTGGCTGGGCAGTCAAATGCGATATATGGCGCGTCAGATAGTACGGGTGCGGCAAACGGTGGAAATTTTGATACCAGTGCAACAGCTGTAGATCCCATGGGGATTAATACAACCCAAGATGCCGGTGGGGCGCAGGGCATGGACTGGTCGATGGGGCAGGATACCGCAGTGTACGACTCGGGATGGGCTATGGACAACTCGGCACAGTTCGATTCGGGGTTTTGACTGGGGGAGATCCAGTAGAGGAATCCTTTCCGAAAGTACTGACCCTTGAGTTGGCTTGGGGTCTGGCGAGGAGGAGAGCACCAGTTCTCCGGCGAGCACGGGGCACTGGAGTCTCTGTGTCAAGGCCACCAAAGATTCGAGCGAACGGTTGGGACGAGATATCGCATTGGATCGGGTCCGTCGGGTTAAGAAACGCAGCAGAAAATCTGGATAGCCATCAGGCACACTGCTGGTCGTCTCGTCTCGGCCATGGTGGATGAAGACATGGAGATATTTCAGAAATGCTGCAGCCGATGCGTGGATATTGATTAATATGAGGACGTCCCCGAGGCAGTAGTGATTCTCGTGAGGACTATGACCAGCGGGGTGCACGTTGAACAACCCAGCCAGCCAGCCGTCAGCAACTGAATATCTTCACTCCAGCTCTGTTCAGAAGCCTTCAATATCAAGATCGTTGAGAAACTTGTCAGCCTGCGCCTTCGCCCTCTGTGCGGCAATCGCCTTGCGCCGCTCCTCGATTTCTTTCTTCCTCTGCTCTTTCTTCTCGTCCCTCTCCTTTCGTATCCTCTCTGTCTCGAGTCTCTCCTTCTCAAGAGCGTCCATTTCTCGCTTCCTCTCTTCCGAATCTTGACTGAAAGTGTAAAACCCGGTGCCTTTGGTCCTGATTTCGGCACTGGCGTCGTAGTG